CCCATTGTGGTGAAATCCTCCTCCTGAAGGAAATCCCTTATTCTCTAGACACAAAGCCCTTCCTAAGCAACTGGGACACCTGAGACAAGCACCATCCTGGCACTAATGAGGAAAGGGGTCCAGAAGAGCCCATGCCGCCCTCTGTGGGGAGCTCCTGGCACTGCAGGAAAGTGGACAGGGAGCATCAGGGTCTGAGGCCTGGGCACAGGGGGTCAGGGTGATGTTTGGGGTCCAAGGGGCAGCAGAGCACAGGGATACAGCCTGCAGTGCACCTCCCACCCAGCTGCATTGTCAGAGTTTTCCCCAACCAACCTTACTGTTTAGCCATGTCTCACTTTTACGAAGAAGGTACAAAGGGGCAATGCAGAAAGGAAGCTCATCTCAAGTTTGAAACATCACTTGGATTCTAATTCAAGGGCAAATGTTGAGTAGGCTACATAATTTTGTGCATCTGTTTTGTGCAACTAACTACTCAAATATGCCAAGGAGCAGGAGGGAGCGTGAGAAGAACACGTCAGCCCTCCCTTTTGCACAGTCCCTTCTCAGGAGACCTTGGACTCTCCCTGCACCCAGCCTTCGAGATGCCTCTGTGTACCAAGAAGCTGTACATCACCAGTAGGTGTCTGCAGGAGGCCAGCGCCAAGCTGTGTGCATGGGTAAGGCAGAGGAGTAGAAGGAGGGAGGCGAGGGGAGGGAGGAGGGGAGGGAACATAATACAAGGGCTTCTCTTTCCAGGGCATCTTCCTGGTGCTTCCTCTACTCCCTCCTCTCCCAGCTGGGCCACATCTGCCCTGAGGCACCATCCTCGCTGAGTCACCAGAGTCCATAGCCAGGTGCAGGGGAGGGGTGTGCGGGCAGGCAAGGGATATGGAGTGCAGGCATTCTGGCTGGTCAATTCCCTGCAGCCTGTCGGGCTTCATCCTTCATCTAGACGGCCACAGATGTTCACTGAGTGGCTCCCCGTGTGAAAAGGAAAGGAAGGAAACGAGGGTGTATGGAGAGGAGGGGGCTCTGGGATGCTCCGGGAGCCTTCCTATGAAAGCATGAAAGCTAGAATCTTATGGAAAAGTTGGAACTTGGACTTCCTGCTGCTCCCCTTCCTCTAATCCCTCAAAGAAGGCAGGAAAGTAGGAAGGTAATGAGGCAGTCATCAAAACACAAAGAATGGTCCCCTGTCTAGGAAGGAGGCTCAGGGTTACTGGCCATTTACCCCATGACACACCGTCAGCTCAGAGACTGACATCTAGAAGGTCAAATCTGCTCAGGGGTCTACAGGGTAAATACTGCTGGGCTTCCAGACCTTCCCTTGGCATTGCCAAGGTCAAATCCTCCCCTCTTACAGAAGTCTCCTACAACATTTTCTTACCTACCTCCCCTTTCACTTTAATTAGGCTGACTCCCAGTTTCCCATCGAAAATCATTCATTCTGGAGAGAGGTCAGGTTTTATACACTAGAGCAGAATAACTAGATGGCTTATTTTTTAGGCCCAGGAAGAAAGAGTGGGGAAGGCAGAACTTATTTCCTTTGGTGCTAAAAGTTGATTTAAGAGGCAGGAAAGATCACGTCCAGTCATCCAAAGGCAAGTCACTCCGTAGAGAAGGACTGGAAGCCCTGCCAGGAAGAGTATGTGGGGAGGGCCATCATCCTTTGGTTCTTGGACCTCCCACATCACCCAGCCAGATGGCGGAGACATGGTGTGGATCCTGGCCTGGACAGCCTCATGTAGAAAGAGACCTGCAGGCCAGGCCATGGCATCATCCCACAGCATGTGGGCCGGTGGCTGGGGAGGGGGCCGAGAGCTCCAAGGGGACCACTAGCCTACTGTCCCAGGGGCTTGACTGCTTCTTCTAACCCAGACTTCCAAAGCAAATGACAACAGGAGTGTTAAGCAGGAAGAAACAGGTCCTGGGACAGGCCGAGGTACCTGGACAAAGATCAACATCAGGATCTTAAAGGTTTGAAGTTGGAAAACAGAAGGGACTCAAAGCACCAGGAAGGAAGTTTCTCAGCACTGATAATATCTGACATTCACCTAGCATTTTGTTACTAACAAAAAGCTATCATATACTTTCTCTTATTTGATTGTCAGAAACCTCAGACAGTATGACCATCCCCATTTTACAAAACAGAAAATAGCATCAGCAACCCTCCACAGTGGGAGCCTGAGCAGTGGAATCAGATTCCAAGCTTGTCTTGGGACATGCTCCTCTTCACCCTGGGACCTTCGATTTCAGAAAGAAGATGCCAGACCAATCTCCCTATCTTTACCACCTACACCTGTGGATCAGATCACCACAGTAATATAAAAAAACACAGGGTATGCCTCCTTAAGATTCCTACAAGGGGGCTCAGCACCTGTAGCACAGTGGTTAGGATGCCGGCCACATACACCAAGGCTGGTGGGTTTGAACCCAGCCTGGACCTGCTAAATAACAATGACAACTGCAACAAAAAAATAACCAGGTGTGGTGGTGAGGGCCTATAGTCCCAGCTACTTGGGAGGCTAAGGGAAGAGAATTGCTTAAGTCCAAAAGTTTGAGGTTGTTGTGAGCTGTGATGCCTGGCACTCTACAGAGGGAGACACACTGAGACTCTTTATCAAAAAAAAAAAGATTGCTACAAAGAGTGGCTGAGAGGAAACTGACATTATGGGCCCAACGTAGCTTCCGCTTCCTAAAGCCTCTTTGGAAAGGCTGACCTTTGTCTAGACTGCAGAGGCAGCCCTAAAGATAGTACTCAAAAAAAAAAAAATACCAAGAAGTAAAGACTGGGGAAGACCAACAAGCCTACCCAGCAGTGGGTCCATCTGGTAACTCTACTTTGGACCTTTCCAATGCTTTTGCTGCAAGCCCAGGTCACTCAAATGGACTCTCGGAGGACAGCAGCAAAGTGGTTAGGCTGTATGCTTTCAAAAATCTTGAAAGGCCCCCAGCCTAACATGCTTACTTATTAGCTAGATAATATGAATGATCAAGGTCCAGGCATGCCACTCTATGCTCTGTTGCCTCCTTTTCCCTTGGGGCATCCAGATTCTTTGGTGGGTCAGATGCACACTTTGGGTGAGGAACAGGTTAAGCCAAGCACAACCAAGGTTAGCAAAGGCTCCTTTCTGACCAACCCAGGATTGATCATTAAGTGCAAGAGGATGACTGCCTTCCTAGGCCTGCCTCTTTCATCCCTCTCCACCAGCTTCCCCGGCCACTCAAGCAGACCTGGCTGCCATGCACAAAGGCAGAAATCTCAGTCCTGCCTGCCAGAATCACACGCACCTTTCAATTCCCAGTTTGAGGAATGCCTCCTCCATGAACTGCTCCCTCATTCTCCCTGCCTCTCCTCCTTGGCTGTCTCATTGCTATTTATGTGCCTTTCCTATGGTTCTTCTCTAATTCTACTCATGCTAATTAATTATGATCATAGTTCGTCCTTCCCTAATAGATTATGAACTCCTTAGAGACAGATAATATATTGAATTCATCTTTGTGGTTCCCCTCTCCCTTTCATGTCTTGCCAGTGGTTTAGTTTTAAACATAGTAGGAATACAAAAAATAATTGTTAAAACAGTTTATCTTGGTTTCTTTAAAAAAGAGGTGTCTGTGAAACAGATCAAAGGATCTCTACACAGGGGACAGTCCCCACTCCTCATACAGTTCCCCTTTCCGAATACAGTACCTTTCTCCCCTCACCTGTATCCCCAGAGCCACCACAGCCAGATCCCAGCAAAGATACGAAGAAGGCTGACAATGCCAAGAGTTTGGAGCATGGTTATCCAAAGAAGTTAAAAATCCTATGCAAAAGCAAGGAGTCCCTGCTATGGTCTGAACCCAGGGAAAAGCAAAGAATTGTGTGGAGTCAGGGAAGGTGAGAGGGAGATGAAAGAAGAAGAAAGGGAATTTTCTGTAAAGAGCAAGACGCCAAGGGTGATGACTGGGGCCCGACCAGCTTCTCATCATGACAAGGGAGAAAAGATACCACAGAGTTCCTGTTACAGCCAGATACCCCCAAGGTAAAAGGGTCTTTACCACTCCAGAGGAGACTAGGGCCCTGCTTATAGTTCAAGGTCAGCTAGGACTGAGGCATGTGGGGGTGGAGTTGAGGGGGAGGTGAAAGAGGATCACCATGAACTTCAAATGGGGCCATCAGGGAGAGGACGTGGAGAATCCCTCCAGAAGGTGTTTATGGGAAAGGTCTCACTCTCCTTAACAGGGAGTAAGGTGGAAACAATTGATGAGGAGGAAAACAGGTCCAGTCAGGCTGCCTGACAGGTGGATCAGGTGAGGGAACCCACCCCTAAAATGCACACACAACTCCACATAACTCAAAGTTTCTCTAATGACCAAGGACATAAGGTCTGAATATAGTCACACTGGGTCAAGTTCGGGGAGGCAATAGTCATAGGGGCTAGAAAAAAAAATTCTAAGAATCGGATCTCAGCCAGCAGGGGGAGGAGAAGCCATGTTTACTAGAGATTTAAGATAGTTCTTCTTCCCTGTGTGTGAGAGACAGAGAGAGAAAGAGAGAGAGATATCTATTATGAACCTGCTAAGTAAAAATCTAATTCCAATTTAAGGATTTCATGTAGAAAATCCTTCTTCCTGAGGCAGAATGGGAAGGATGAACACTCTTTTCTTTTGGGACCATAGAGAAGATGATGGTAATTCCTCTCTCTGGGCCCAGACAGGAAATCAGAGTGTACAAAGAAGCCCCACACACCTGTGCCCAGTCGTCCAGCCCTCCACACTCCTTCACTGAGATTTTCTCATACTCCTGACTTTATCCGCAGGTCACTTAGGGTGGAGGCAGAGGGCAGGGCTCAACTTCAGCACCTCCTTGCCTCTCAGAGGCACTTGGAGCAGCGGCTGCCTCAGCTAGGCAGACACGTCTCCATCACTGCCACGCCAGGGTGCGCCCCAGCACACACAGAGGATTCCCCATAGGTGGGGAGAGTGAGAGCCTCAGGGTCGTGAGGATGCCCCCCAACCTCTGTGGCCCCAAGCGGTACCTGCCAAGGCCTTGATCCGGGATCTCTCAAAGAGCCTGGCTGAGCTGTTGTCATTATCCAGCTCGTCGTCCGGGGCATCCCATCGGGCATTGATCCGGCTGTACGGTGGCTGGTTGCCCACGTTTTCAAACTCCGTGGCCGATGTCATGTCTGCAGGCTCTTCTCAGCAGCTGCGTCTGCCTCAGTCTTCATGGGAGGGTCCCTGGGGGGACAGCAGCACAGTCAGAAGGTTTAGCTCCCCACCCCCTCAGACTTTTTCTCAGGGGAAACTTATTCGGAATATCCAGCAGGAGCAGATCCTCACGGGAGCAGCACACCGTGTCATCAGCCTGGGCATGCTTCCCACCCGGGGTCTCTGGGTCGTTTGCTATAAAATATTGCAGCAGCAGCAGCAGCAGCAGCAACAGTAGCGGCAGCAGCAGCAGCAGTGGGGATGGAGAGCTGCATGCAGCAAGGGTTAGGACGGCCAGCAGGTGGAGACGTCAGTCTCTGGAAGCTGCTTCCTCCAAACCCACTGAGCTGCTGGGGAGGTCAGCAAGGGGCGGCTCTTCCAGGAGCCAGAGGGTGGTGGGGGTCGAGCTGGGACAGGCAGCCCCTCGTCCCATACACCTACACCGAGGCAGGACCCACCTGGAGGGGGAGACAGGGACAGGCCAGGAGAGAGGAGAAGCTGAAAGTCAGCTGAGTCCAACTCATATGTGAATTGTGGGGAGAGATGAAAGTGACAGCTAAGCCACTGATGCCACCAGCCCGGGCAGCTGAGGCTGCCCTCTGAGTTCTCTCCTTGCAGCTAATATGCAGAAAGCTGAGCTCCCATTTTCTGCCTTTTCTGAAGTATAACCAGCTGCTTAGACAAGGTTCCCTGTTGAGTCCCAGCACAGACCAAGCAGCCTGATGTCCCACCCTTGGCATGACAGCCCCAAGCGTGGTAGTCAGAGTATCCCATGGACAGTGGAGTTGTGTGGAGGAACCTATGAGATGAACTGGGCCCATCAGAAGCACTGGGCCCTCATTCATCATTGATCATTTTTGCTCATTCATTCACTCACTCACTCACAATTAATTCAAACACGTACCAAGCCCCACCTAAGTAGGCAGGCACTGTGCTAGACAATTCTGAGCAAGACAGGAAGGATCTGGCAGGGAAGACACACAATTAAACGTGACGTATGCCACAGCAGGGTAAGGTGGGGAGTCGTGGTTGGGGTTGGTGGCAGGGGAAGGGAAATCGAAGCAGATTCCTAAAGGCAGCTTGGAAATACCCACAAAGGGACAGGGAGAAAGGGGCAGGAGTCCAAACAAAGTGAACAAGGAGGAGATGCAGAGTTCTGAAGGTGAGAACGAACACAGCAAGTTTTTAGCATCTTAAGAAGTAACTAGAGGGTGCAGGTGGGTTGGAGAAAAAAGCAAGGAGGTGGTGGCAAGAAGGCCAGGCTCTGTCCCATGTTCCCTGGGGACAGATGGGTACATCTGGGGAAAATGACTGGCTTTCCTCCTCTGTATCTGCCATTTAGTTCTCTCTCTGGGGAGCTTAAGGGACACCAAGATCAAGTTTGTAAGAAAGAAAGGGGTCCCAGAGCTTCACATCCAAGAGAGCAAAAGGGGGCAGGGGAGGTTGTAGGGCAGACACGTGACAGGTGTGGACAGCCAGTGAGCCGGCAGTAAAGCACTTTCCCTGTGGGCACGTGCACACACACATACACCCATTCAGCAGGTGCACAGAGCACGCATGTCACCATACACATGCGTCCAGGCAGGCACACGACTGCGGAAATCATGCAGCACACTCCAGATGTGAGCGATCCAGCATTGCAGCCTTACTTTCCAGACACAGAGATACTTCAGACTCTTTTTTTCCCCAATCTGATTAATCAGCCCCACCACATCCCTTTGAGGTAAGAGAGGAGCCAGAATTATCCACCCTAATTGTACAACAGAGAAAACCAAGGCCTCCCCAAGGTCATCTAGGGAATTCTTGCTGCAGCTAGGACCAAAGCACAAACCATGGCCCAGTTTATGCTCCATGACCAGACAGATTTCAGGATATAGCAGGTGGGGAAAGAACATAGCACATGGGGACAGAGGGCATTTTCCAGCCACCAGAGCATGGCAAAGGTGTTTGTCACTCAGGTGAAGGGAAAGGCTAAGGTGGGCAAACCAGTCATCACCCTGAACATGGTACGTCCCACGATGTTACACCTGTGCCCAAGACCACTCTTGTCCCTGTAAATAGCCTGTCCTCCTCCACAGATGGACATGCTACTTCCAAGGCTGAGAATTCCTACTCAACTGGATGGACAAAGATAACTGGGAAGGATTCCCCACTGCCCACCCCTTTCCCTACTTCCCTTAAGGGAAACTACCAGTAGCTTGGATCTCTGAGCCTGAAAAGGACTGACATGTTAACCACCTTGTGTAGGGCCACACGTCTGTCCAGCACTCCCTGAGAAGAGCAGAGCTGCCAGACGCAGGAAGCAAGGTGAGATTGGACCCTGAGCACAAGAGGTAACCAGACCCTGGCCCTCCCTCTTCCTTCTATGCTATTTTTAAGAGCAGTGGAGAGAGGCCCAGGCTGTGAGCTAGGGAGTGAGATTACCTTTGCCACAGCTCCGTAAATAAGTCTGCCCCAGAAAGATGAGCCCAAGCAGGCAGAGACTGGCAGGCCCGGCGTTCAAGACAAGATCGATGGCCCTGGGAGCAGAAGAGCAGCAACTCGACAGCAATTCATCCTGCTTAAAAACGCTATCCCTCCTGTGGCCGCAGCTCAGAGAAGGCAGCAGCCAGACAGCGGCTCTGCCAGGAATGGAGGGGAATATGTTTATGTGTCTCTAAATATACAGCTGTAGGTTTTTTGTTTGTTTTTGTTTTCCGAAGACTCAAGTCCCTGAAGACAAATGCTGGTTGAAGACTCAGAAACAAAAGAGAGGCCCTCTTCCTCCTCCCCCTGCACCATGCCTACCCCAGCCCCTGCCCAGATGGCAGCTCAGCAGAGTCAAGGGAGTGGTGAGACAGGGCCAGTGTGCTCAGCAAGGACGCACTTGGGGGATATGGTGTGAGAGATGGAAAGGAAATAAATAAGCAACCAGGAAAGCTAAAGATGGTTATTTCAGGGGACAAATAAGCCCCAAGATATTCCTGCCCCAAACTGGACTTAACCTAGTGTTTCCTCAGTGTCTATTTCCTTGATTGTACAGGGTGCTTCAAAGGCCTGGCTATAAAGAAACCACCATGACGCTAAAGAATGCCCTGTGCTGGGGGCTCATGGTGGGGACGACCAACCAAATGGGGAGTCACAGAAATGACACTTGAGTTGATACCTGCAGGGAACTTGAAGATGAGATGGTCTGGTTTCATTTTCAAAGATACAAGTCATCTGTGCTTCGAGAGTGGCCCTCCATGAGTCACGGAGGACAAGAACCTGGCTAAAATTAGACCTTAAACTGCACTTCGTACCCATCAGCAACCCAGGAAGAAAGGCATAAGCAAGTTTCTTGTTCATTCATTCCCCAATTCACCTTCAAGCTCCCAAGATGTTCTTCTCTGAACCCACCACACCTCATCAAAGTGGAGATGGGTCTTCCCTGGTGTGCATGATCCATGCCCAGGAAGGTCAACCTGTCCAGCAGTTGGAAAGGCCCACCGCTGAATGCACAGGCCAGACTCACGCTTACATGTTAGCCTCCACCACCCCAAGACCCAGGGTATATTATAAGTAGGGAGGGTCCCTAGAAGACCTGTGCACAGCTCAGCACCCAGATGCTCACAGGGTCCCACAGAGCACTCACCCGTGGAGGAACGGGGGAGGTCCTCGGTGAGCACCTTTCACAGCATCAATGATGTAGCCCGCCCTTCACAGCTGGGGTGGGGCATCCTCCTCTGAGATCAGGTACTAGGCCTCAGAACCCCAGCAGCATGTGCTGTGCCCAGTTAAGCCCTGGGGAGGTGAGGAACTGAGAAGGGGGGGGTAGCAGCTCCTCTCCCTGCCTGTGGGGTGCTGGGGGAGCCCAGGCCTGGACCCACACCAGCCGAGCAGAAGAGGAGGCTCTTTTCTTCTCTTCCTCCACCCCATGCCCCAAAGTAAACAGCATCCTTTCCCCTTCCCTAAGCCACACTAAAGGGAGGGCCCTGGGAGCACTGGGTGCTGTCACCCTTCCGCAGCGGCTCGGCTGCTGCAACAGCCAGACACCATCTTCCTTAAACATAATTTCTCCCTGGGTCAGGTATGACCAACCCCTACCTGCTTTCCAGTATGCCCCACCCTCTTATGCTACCCAAACCCTGCTTTTGACATATTTTTGTACAATGGCAACCCTGGTCAGGAGATTAAATCCTGACGTTTCCTGGTAATTTTTCCTGAAGTTTCCTGATGCCAATGCATCACCCAAATGGGAACATCCCTCTACTCTCTCTGATCACATGCTCATATTCACAGACTCCTTAAAGGAATAGTCAGATACATGAACACACAGAAAAGCACTAAAACAGGATAAGAACCAATGAGATGCACAGTGCTGAGCACTTATTCTAGATCTACCTCTAGCCCTAACCTCCTCCCCACCGTCAAGCTCTCGTCTGGCACCTTCATCTGTCTACCAGACAACCCCACCTAGAAATTACATCTGGGTCTCAATATGGCTAGGAAAGAGAGCGCGGCCCCCAGGACAGCAGAACAGGGGGGTTTCAGCGCCACGGGACAAGCAAGCCGATTCCTCTCCCTGGAGCACATTCTGCTTTTCCACACTGCAGTTCCCTTCTCAGCCCTTCCTGGCTACCGTCCATCATCAACAGGCAGTAGGTTTGGGGTTCTTAAAGTCTCAAGATCACTACCCAGGACTGCCACCATCCAGGATCTCCATGTATTTGCAATACCCTGGTCATTCTAGTCCACTGCTGTCTGAGGCCTTTCCCAGGCCCCTCTGCTCCAGTTTCTGTCACTAGGCAGGGGCTTCACATGTCACAACTTGTCCACCCTCACCATGGAAAACTCTCCTACTAAGAATTGGCTCCAGTAATGCTGCAGCTGCTGGGCTAGGGGTGGGTATGTGGGATCACAGCCCTGATAGTTCTTATGGGGATTTGATTGGGGAACAGGTGCTGCTCAGCTCTGACAGGGAGACTGGCCCATCAGCCCTCTATCTTAGCAACAGCATCTATCAGCACCTCACATCTCACAGAGACCAATGTCCACCAGAAACCTTTAAAGGA